CAAGCAGCACTTCCATCCACCCTGAAAACCTGGATACATTGAAATTAACTGCTTCAAATCCCGAATGATTTTTTCAGCCATGTCATTTCCTGCAGGATGGTACGGAGCGCAGCGTCGCAATACAACTCCTCGTTCCTTCGCCCAATCTTGCAAACGCTGACTGAGAAACGCTGGCCCATTGTCTGATATTACAATCTTCGTATTCTTGAACATCTCTCGACTCAAAAGAGCGATCACATTATTTGCGTCTTCCCTTTCCGGCCGTGCAGCCACTATTCTTGTGCACTGGTCTATTGCCACTAGGAAAGACTGCGTTCTTCTTACTCCTGCAGCCTTCTTCTTGAGCTCTGCGAAATCCAGATGAATGACTTCAAATGGTACGTCGGAATGTTGAGGTAAAACCATCTCGTCTGTTCTCTGGAGGTACTTGGCTTTGTGAACTTTGACATTGATGACAAGACTGAGCATACCGTTGAACGTCCTCTTTCATGTGTTTCCACTGGAAAACGCTGACGAATCTTCTGATATGTCCTCCAAAAGCCGTCATGTCCACCTGAGTGCGGGGAGTTGTGATAGAGCTCCAAAATACGAGGCACTATTGTTTCTGGGACTGTGAACTTTTCGTTATGGAACATAAGTTCTTCAGTTCCCTCCCACAACAATGTTGCGTTGACAAAGGATACGGGTGTTGCAGTAGGTCTCCAGCTTGCAAGTGGGCGTCGTTCCTCAGCTCGTGTGGCCCCGGTATTCCTTGCAGCAGGTGTCATGGGTTTACGCTGGGTTCCTAGGTCCTGGAGGTAGAGGTTTCGCATTCCCTGCAGAAGTTCTTCGACCGTCTTGGGTCCTCGCATTTGCATTTGCTTCTGGAGGTCCGGACTTAAACCATGAATGATAAGCGGAACCACAGACGTCTCAGGTAAAGATGAGTCCGCCAACTGTAGCAAGCGCCTTTTCTCATAAAAATAGCTGAGTGCAGATCCAGACCTGTATTTGAACGTGATTGCTTTGTCCCATAGTGACACCTTGTTCTCGCTGAAGGAGCTCAGAAAGCTTGCTTTCCACTGTGTCCATGGTTTGTTGCTGTGAGCGTTGAGACGCCATTCGTACCAACTCTTTGCTATGCCTGATAGGAATAGTCGCATGTTTTTCACTTTATCTTCGTCGTTGTGCCAGTAGTTTTCATTGCATGCATACTCGTAAAACGTGAGCCAGGACTCGGGACTACTAGACTCTCCGTCAAACATGTCTGGCTTCACGTGTTCGCGACTCGGTCTGCTTAATCTTTCCGTCGCGTTTACAAGCAAGCGCATTAAATCATTTTGCTGCCTATTCTGTTCTTGGTGCAGTTCAATAAACATGTTGATCGGCTCGACGGAACTGTTAGGCGAAGCAGCGGTAGCAGGCTTCGCGTCGTTTCTTACTGGAGTCAGCACGAAATTCTCATAATCCTGAAGTTTCATGTTGATCCTCACCGTTCTTTTAGCTAGTAAATGGTCTGGAGCTAGCTTCATTTTAGTGCCTATAAAAGAAACAAATGCGTCAGTGCTCACTGCTTCCGGAAGAGCTAGTTCCTCTTCATCTTGAGGCGTTGCAGTCAAGATCTGGATGCCACCGCGTTGATTTGCTCCAATGGTGAAGTCCACCCACATCTTGAATGTCCGCACAGAAAGTATACGTGGCTGCGCCAATTTGTAATAATACACAGTACTAGGCTGGGGTGTCAGCCATCTTCTTTATTTCTAACCTCTTCTTCCTCCTCGTTTCCCTCCAACCCTGCCTAATGTCCACGTACAACATCACTTATAAGAAGACAGAGAAGAAATGACATGCGATGCGCTTACCAACAGCAGTTGTTTTGCAGCAAGATAACAAATATATAAAAAAGCAAGGCCTCCCAGCACATGCGCAGTTCACAATGGCCCGTAACATGAGTGAGAAGATGTGAAAAAGAAATTACATTACGGACAAAATTACTCAAAGTTTGGAATATCATCAGCAAAAAGATAAAGGTGATTGGTACATGAGACCATAAGGTGCACATCCGCTTTTTTCACTATGATGAGCCAAATTACTTCTCTGGTTATGGTTAATCTTATTTGTATGTTCTCTGAGGCACGTGTTGATGAGGCACCTCCCCGTCCGTCCAATGTGAGGCTGCATTAAACAGCAAGCACGCGAGTCCGTTTGCGAAATGCGCTTGGCGTGTAGTATATGAGACCCCCCGTCCTGCGGTTGAACTTACTTCGGCAGACGGGGGAGTACCTCAATACGTGCCTGATAGAACATTCAAATACCTTAACTACAAGTAATGAAGAAATTTGTGGAAAATACGGATTTTGTGGAAAATACATTGTGGAAAATACGGATTTTCACAAGACTTTTCTTCTTTCACGGTGCTTGTTAGCTATATATATATATATATATATATATATATATATATATCCAAGATTTGGCGCAGCTGGTGGCTGAAGCTCAAGCTATTCTTAAAAGGTGTAACTTGTGTGTTAGCATAGCATCCTTATTCTTTAGAAGAAAAGAAATTAGTTTCTTAGATAGTGGGGCTTAAAGTTCTGTCACTTATCTTTTTGCTGACAAAATCCATTGCTGTGAAGACTTTTTTTTTCATTTTTATCTCTCTTTTACGTTTTTGTTTTTGGTTTTTCACTGATGTTGACGTGACTATATGTGCTTCGCATGTGCTGCCAGGCTTTGTTTTCCATATACTGCCTTGCTGCAATAAAATTGTTGTGGGCCAGCCCATCGTGTGTCGTTTCTTCCCTGTTCTCGTCGTATATACAATGTTTTTCTATCTCGATATGCAACATGAACTGGCGCAACATCGTTCACTGCTGTACGATTACTTTTTCGCAAGTGTTCGCAAACATACGAAGTAAGCCACATGAAGTGTTGTCCTTCCCACGTACAAAACCACACATTGTTAATAACTTTCTGTCACTGACGGAACGAGACGACCATGTTTTCCGTGTTATGCCATGGGCGAGAATTGAAAGGAAGCGAGAAAGAAAACAGCGTGACTTATATCGATAGGTTTGTGGTCATGACTATTAAATTAAACTTAATCCACAGTCCTCAGCCACGACGTCTATCTGCGCTACCCGTCGGATGTTGAATCCTGGAGATCAAACAGCGTCTTCCTGCAGCTATATCAGAGAAGACGGGAAGGTATGTACACGACGGTCTGAGCGCGTACTGGAGCACCCGCTTGGTCATTTGCCTGAACTGGCCATTATTATGTATTTCTTCCTATATCTTTTGCAGCACCCAACGGCGACGCACCGCAAGATTTTTGGTAGCCAGGTCATAAATTGTACACTGTATTCGTTGTTTTTTATTGTGTCGTATACGCGTTCTATTCAGAAAGATAATTTAGATGCAATATCCTTTCGAACTCATGGGAAAAATAAAACGAGTGGTGTGCCCCTCAACGCCACCAAAAACCGGCTGCAGGGCCTGGTTAAGATTGCTTTTGTCAAGGGCAGTAAAACAATGAACACTTCCTCGAGTTCTTCACAGGTCGAGTGCCATTTTTTTCTTCAATTAGGCGCATTGCAAAGGGAGCGCTTGTTTTTGATACTCCTCGGCTACAGAACAAACTGTGAAACTACTTCGTCATTTCTCACAGCTTTGAGAACGGTCACGCAGACAAATTTATAAGATGGGCCACGATCGTGAATTCCACGCTAAACCCTGGGGTTTAGCGCCCAACACAAATGTTTTGAGCTGCCAGTTGATTCGAAATCTATATATAAAAAGTTTAAGTTTTGCCAAAAGGGTGAAGCAATGACTGAGATAGCAACATATTTGAATGCTTTACGAAGCAAGGCTAGAATCTCTAGGAGCGAAAATAACTGTAATAAACATACGCTTGCTAAGTAACCTATAGTTTATTGCGGCGTGGCCACAGTAGATGACCACAACAAAGCTCGCGCGTAGGGACGGCGTTGATATACGAAGTGAGGCTGACCGTCCATTCATTTAGATCCGATCTCACGTAGCTCTAGAAAACGCCTGTGTAAGAGAACACGGTCGCTCCAGGTAGACATTTTGCACCAATTTTCCGGGTTGAGGGCGCAGCCCGTAGAAGCTCCCGCCTGCTGTGTTGGCCCAAGGCGCGCGCTGATTGTTGCTGCGATAGCGCGGCAACGAAGATGCACGTTAAAGAACGCCAGGTGGTCGAAATTTCCGGAGTCCTCCAGTACGGGGTCTCTCATAATCATATGATGGTTTTGGGACGTTAAACCCTACATATCAATCAATCAAGCGCAGGAACGAGAGGCGCCCCCCTCCCCCATTGTTCACTGGCGAAATAAGCATAAGCGCGCGCACAGACGAACCCGGCCGGAAAGGCGATCATCGCTCCGCGCATAGAGGAGGCTAGCGCATCCTTGCCCATATTTATATACACACATATGCATATACGTAAATGACAATGGCAGTGGCGGCGATCGCAAAAACCAGCCGAGACTGCAGTACATATACTTGCTATCGCAATAAAAAAGCAGAAGGTTTTTCGGTGCGTTGTTTTTGTTTGTTTGTTTGAGTGTATGGTAGCTAAGGCAATCACGGTGCTTTCAGTGACAAGAGAACAATATGATAGCCCTATTGCCATCTATGGAACAGTTTCGATGCCAGATAATAATAATGCTGGGGTTCTAGGTGTCAAAACAAAGATATTGTGAGGGACACCGCACTGATGGGCTCCAGATAAATTTCGGCCACTTGGGGTTTTTATAAACATGCACCCAAATCAAAGCAACATGGATTTTCTTTGCGTGTAGCCCTCACCGTAGTGCGGCCGCCGTGATAGGGGATCAAAACCGCACCCTCGAACTCAGCAGTGCGATACCTTAAGTGCTACCACGGCGGATATTGCGTACCAGAAGCAACGTTGCAAGTACCTGACAATGAGCGGCGAGCTGTAGTTAACACGATGTAAAGATATTCATATGTCTGACAAAGAGTAAGAAAATACGGCTTACCTTGCTACGTTACGCCGACAAAGTTCCGAAGCACAAGAGACAGCTGGCTCGAGTAGGTGTGTCACTCGTATACCGGGGCACTGGAAGCCGTGTATGTACGTCTTTTCCATCTGGGTAAGCATGCGTGGTTAAAAAAAAATATCTGAACGTTACACATGCAGTTGAAATGTATAAGCGGGTAACCTTCGTAGCAGACGAGAGTTCACAATCAACATGCATTTTTATTTGGTAAGATAGAAAACAACACTGTTGTTCGTTAGAAATTCCCCAGCAATATTTACTTCACGCAGAAAAAATAATGAAGATAACAAAAAATGACTCCTAAAATATATATGCCATCACAGAAATTCTGCTGGATTTTTGAGCACAAGGGGTTTCCAGAGGGCACATAGAATCACGCTTTGCTATGATACACCAGTTCGACATTAAGTATCCATCGTAAGACATATATAGCTTCAGGCCAGCTTCCCTACCTATTAATCGGCCGGAACACCCATTCAAAGATGTATTCTTTCTGCTGTGTTTATAATGTTTTATCACCTAACTTCGGTATATTGACGATATATTGATTGCTGCGTGTTGCTGCGTGTTGCTGCGTAAGCGGAATATTAACTTGGACAATTCAAAACATATCGTCCTGTGATTCAGACACGCTACTCGGGCCAGAATGTACGGTCGACACTTTCTGTGCTGCCGGTGAGCGTTAGCATATAGACCTCAGAGTACCCAACTTAGCTATAATGCGTAAGAAAAGCTCTCCTTTACATCCGTTATTGAAATGATCTCGATGACGACACTTACGCCCACTGGTGGTGGTGTCGCATGTCGAGTATCGCGCATGGACGAGAGAGCACTAACGTGATAAGTGCGCAACAACCTATGGACCGACGTCACCTGTTAATTCTGAAGCCACAGCTTTGCTCGAGCTCTCAGCGAGCTAGTATTTGACGGAAGCACGTGAGCGCTCTGCCCGGTGCATCTTCTCTGTTTTCTCTTCGTTCTGCATTTGCAGTATTCAGAATAATGTGACCTGAAATTACACAACACCTATATTTATAACAATCACCTGCAGCAGCCTCGGTTTGCAAGTCAATGAGAGCGGTTAAAAGAATGAAAGAAGTGAAATCAATGGAGATTCCTGTGCACATATATCAGACACAAAATCGGGGGAATCCAAAGAAAGCACAGGTGACATTCTTTGTAGTCCTTAGTTAACGTAGAATAATTACCCTGCGGTGACAATTTTCCTTTGTTTCAAAATCATTTTCTTTTATCCCAAAATCAGTACATTTTCATTAAAAACTACATGCGTCTATAACGCCCCTCACACTGCTTTGACTTCATTTTGTATGGGCTTTATACGCTCTGTATCTTTTTAAAAACTTACAGGTACAGTTTACGATGGCTAGTTGGCACTCGCTTGCTTGCCTTGTAGTTTACTGATGTAAACCGTAACGGTGCATAAAACTTAATAGGTACAACTATTACGTCAGAAATTACCACTTTAACGAAGGAAGTCGAGCAACGGCAAGCACTATATTTGCGAAGCAAAGGCTTCGTGAATTGGTCTTCTGATACACATGCGCTGATAAATGGCTTCATCATGACGAAATGTACTATGTACTTACGGTTTTTTGAAGACAGGTAGATAATGAAAAAGTCTCTGCTGTCGGAAGCACAGAAACTGGTCCCCACACCTGCAAAGACTCGCATATAATGGGAACGCCGCCATGTCAATTAAATGCTTGAGTGGTTCTCAGATGTGTGAGCAGCCGTTATCGAATCGCGGCAAGAAGTAATATCGTTTTCCGAACCTTTCAGTCGACACATGCGCAGTGTAAAATGCGCTTATAGAACGGTGGCAGTAACCCTCGAAGCAAGTTACCACAAACGTTGAGCTGTAGCCTGAGACTGTGTTCTTTATTCGTCAGTCCTGTGTCCCACAGCTTATGCCAGTGTCTTTTTCTGCGTTTTGTTTAACAATGTAACGCTTGAACGAATAGCGCTTCATAAAGGTTGAGGGCACAGACGTTCCACCACATCATCCTTGTAATGCCTGCCTTGTCCGCATAAGCATTCTTTTGTGTTATAATTTCGCGTTGGCAAATGCTATAAAGAAAATGAATGTTTAAAAAGCAAAACATATCTTAAAGGAAATGGGTGGTATTGAGCCTACGAGCCTACGCTCACAAGCCAACTATCCCACCCACTAGGCTTTAACCAGCGCGTCTTAGGTAAGAGATCTGCATGTGCACTAGGCTTTATGACATTGTGCTACTTGGATCAAACTGTTGACGTCACTGATTTCGTCACGCTAGATATTGCAATGGAAGTCTCCGTCCAAGCAGCTTAACGAGATGAATACCAGTGCACAGACCTATTATACAGAAATTGTTGCGCGGAGCTTGTACTTCCCTTTATCTCCCAACCGCTGGTCTCGGCAGCTGCGCACGCCTGCTCTCCTTGGTGAGTGAGCGCTGCTGCCTCTTCCATCTCTCTTAGCACAAGACGTTGAAGTCATGCAGCTTTGGCATCACACGCCGCTACAGTTTTGCTGTTTGGGTTTTTCAAACCGGCATCTATGCAGTCGCAGTCACAACTCTACTTTGTGCTTAGATGTTCTCAGATTATTTGTTTTTTCATGAATTTGTAGCTTCATTTTTCTGTCACTATGTTGAGACGCAATACCTACACTATACGCGGGCGCCAGGCGTGCTTTGCAGTTGGAACTGTGTTGCCATACACACTAAGTCTTATATTCTTGGCTTGGAAAAGAGCTGACTACACATGTCACCTCTTTTAAAAACACTGGATACCGGGCTCACTCGCTCTCTGTGCTATCAAACGCAGGACCATTACGTTGGCTGCAACAGTGACCTTTCACCACTCCTTTTTTTTTCTTTCTGTTCCCCTCCTTCCGCAATGCAGGTTAGCCAATTAGACTACCCTCTACTGGTTAGCACTTGCATCTGTCGAGCAGGATTTCGAGATAGGAATGTGTTATTCATTAAGCGATTGTGCCTGCCCTTTTTCATAATCAATCAATCAATTTTATTCTTCTTCGCACTCGAAAGAGAGGGGACAGGACAAAAAGCTTGACAGAGGTCCTGCCACCTTTTCCAAATGACAGCAGCACATTGCAGAGAAAAAAAATAAGCGACACGCTTTACAAACAAAGTAATACGTGATACGAAATACGGTTGCAATAAAAAAACAGAAAGTTTGTTTGCAACAATATACACGCACCAAAAAAATATCTGCCTATGCGGATTTCGCCGATTCACAATTTCATACCCGATACACAAGTATATATAAACATGTCTCTATGCGCACCTGTATACGCTCTTTTGTAACGTGTTCAAAACAATTTCAACACGATGGTAAGGAAATAAAGAAAAAGAGAAAGAAACGTATTATACACAGCGTTAGTAATCTATGTGGCATGACTGACAAAATAGTGTGACTTCTTTGTTGAAGTTGCTCGGTAGATCAATATCGGCATTTTAAAGTTTATTAGGTATTATTGGCACAGTATGTTTTAATTACTGTTCGTCATATTTGCTTCGAGGTGTCGGGACATGCCTTTTTCCTTATGCCTAGTATGACGAATACTGTGGCTTACATTCAAATCAGCCAGCGAATCTGTAATACAATTATTGGACTTGAATAATGACATGTAGAATAAAACTAAGCAATAATTGTATATAAAAACACACGTAGAATATCAAATTTTACGAATATAATCAGGCACGTCCCCAATGTTCAAATAAAGTATAAGTGAGCAGATTTGTTTGGGTCCATAACTATGGTGAGGCAGCACTATACGAATATTTCACTAGGGGGGGGGGGGGGGGGGGTACAAGATGACAACGTTTTCAATAAAGAAACTTCAGCACAGAGCACAGCGCATGTTTTGCCACCTTCTCGTTTTTTGGGAATTGATCGCCTAGCGCTCCCTTAATAGCCATGTCCCCTATTGTCATTTCCTTAAGTACAGGATAACATAACGGACGCTTATTCCTTGAACTCCCCATCTTTGTTCTCCTTGATTTCTCTCTCTCGAGTGCTAATCAGACGCCCCTACGAAGCTGCCATTTCTAACCATTGGGCGACCGACAGCAGCCGCTCGAGAGGCGAAGGTGAGACAACGTTCAAAATCACAACTACCCATGCTTCGTCGTTTGACCCCGAGCTTTCCCAAGCTCGTATTCTGCAACTTAAGCGCTTCTGATATTGACCAATAACACGCGCTGGTGACGCGGGACGGGCGCACTTCAGTACTTTCACGTCTCGGACCCTCTTGCCTCGTGATACGCCCTCAGAGATGTCACGACGAAAGTTAATGGCAACCCTCCGCCAGAACACGTGCACAACCACTTGCCACAATTGATGCGCGTGTGCTCTGACGCTGCTGTTAGCTGTGAAATGCTGCTGTGCAAAACATAAGATGGCGTTAGAATTTGCCAGTTCATGCAAAATCCAGGAGTCCGGTGTGTTAATCTAAACTTCTCTCGAAGCCCGCGCGTTTTGAGAAAGAACCACGAAATAATCGACGTGTACTTCATGCTCATTCCCGGTGAAGACTTTAGCACGAACATGCGATTACAGATTCTGTTGTTTTCAACAGACAAGACTTTGCTTTACGAAATTGTCGGCTTTGTGGAGCCCGTTGTGTTTTTAGGCATCTGGTTTTTAAACGTTACTTCTCGTTTGAACCACGTGCCAAGAAACTCTAGGTCTGCGCGGAAGGCTCGGCACAGTCACAGCGAAAGCCATTAGAGTGACCTTCCAGAGCCTTTTCTAAACACTCAGTGCATGGGTAACTGCGGCGAGCACACCTGCTTGGTGCCCACTACGGCGTTAGTAATAAAATTTTAGAGTAGTAGGCCGGCATTCGCTATGCTATTTTTTGTCATTCTTCCGAGAAGCATTGTATCCGCTAAACACTTGCAAGGAATTTTGTGTGAAGTGTTCATGCAGTGGCTGACGACGATGAGACATTATGCCTGAAGTGGATATGCGCCACAGATAATAGGTGATCGAAAACAAGCTTTTGTAATGAGTTGGAGCATTGGACGGCCCACTCGTTACGCTATTCGCATTGTGTGATGCCTCGTTTTCTTTTGCTTTTTAAAACGCTTTATTACGCATATTAACGCGATTCCCGTCATCAAGCCTGCCTAAGGCACGTTAGCGGATAAGTCCCAAGCACCAGCGTGGCTCAGTAGTAGGATGCTAGGCTGACACGCAGCGGACCAAGGTTCGAGCTCTTCTGTATCCTTGATGCTAGTTTTTTTTTTTCTAATTTCACGATAGCGGTTACGGACACCGGCGGCGGTGGCGGCGGTGGCGGCGGTGGACAACTACGGCACAGCGCGTGACCCGAGTTTTGATCTCATAACAGCTTTAATTGTAATATGTCTAGTGGAAGGAACGTTGCGGATGGCACAAGCATAAATCATCCAAGGTATATAAGAATAGCATTTGCCCATACTGACTGTGGTGGTTGTTACTGTCTTGCAAGGGACCAAACGTTTGATAACCCCTCAACGGTAGCTTTCATTTCTTCCCGATTGTTCATTTCATTTGATGGATTTTGATGACTTTTTTAATGTTTTGACTTCAATGAGTCTGGTTTAACGTAGGAGCATTTCGTTGCTATATATTAGCCAGCAAGTTACTTTTTTTTTACCTGCAACACAGGAGACATCAGTGCTCGCAGCCATTTTTCTCTAGTGCTTTTGGCATGCGCGACTGTTACAACCTGACTGAATTGTGATTATTGTACACTTAAGTCACGAAGGGCGTGTGCAAAAATGTCTCCCTGTGAAATGCATGTTGTCTTTGTGTGTAGGGCAAAATTGAAATGACAGGCTAGCAGGCCAGTTGGTATAGGGCATCGTACACACTAAAGGGCAATTAACATGTTAAATCACGTGCAAATAAATTGCCCATACTTTGTTATTGCCATGCCTCATCTTCTGCTGTCGTCTGCATGCTTTACTACAGTTCAAAGTGCATAATGTTGTGGAAGTTCCGGCGAGGCATAATAAACATCCCAAAACAACAGCGTAAACAAGCTTGCGTGCTTGTCACGCTGTTAGTGGTGCTTTTTCACGTAGCTCCTTAGTCAAGCTCATTTGTTTCTCAAGCCGACGTCATCTCTCTTCTTGAATTAAACTCGAAAAGACTCCCATTTCATGCCCAATCGCTGACAAAAAATGGGCGTCAAATCGCTTGTGAACCAGCCTGGGAGAGGAGTGGGTTTGTAGGAACTCAAAAAAGTATCACAGTGCAGCTGATCATGAAGACGCTGGTGCGATTCGCAGCAGCAGAGGTCACTGCATCGCAATGAAGACAGCATCTGAAAACTCTTCGCGGACAAGATTAAGAAGCTCATTTGATAAAGAATACTTCCAGATCTCTCTGACTGCGGTGTCTCTCGTAATCATACTGTGATTTTGCTACATAAAATTCTACAGTTCATTTGCATTCCTCTGATGTCTCGCTTTCTACCTCAGTAATACTTCCCTACGTAAAAGTCAAACTTTCTAGAACATTTGTTTTTGTTGATGCCTAACAGATAGTAATACTAAAACTGTGAAATACGGCCCAATACGACAAGAGGCTTAACGTGAGCACGACCAATACGGCACAACATAAGCTGTACAGGCATAATACATCAATTTATAACTTC